TAGAAATAGACCCCCGAATGTATTGTTACTGAAATAAAGTCATTGAAAAGCCACTCATCCTCACGGGGAAGCATACAGCAAAGAGAAATGTGTCAATTCAGGAATCCCTGCTATTTAAGTATGCATTTACATATAGCAGCAAATCAGACGCATTTCTTTAGTGGATTTAAGTACATATAAAGAAATATTGGCCCAAACCCCAGATTTGCTACTCCTGCAAAAATCATTCTGTAGTCTGGGAATGTTTTTCTTAAGGAATGAATAAAATTTTAATAAGGCTTCTTTGCTTCTTATTTGGGATATATAGTCAGTTCTTACCCAAATACATTCTTGTTCTCTTTCTGAAAAATAAATTTAGAGACAACTGCATGTGCTCAAAGCTCCTGATAAAATAAATGCACCAGCTACTTGTATGTGAACAAAACATAGCTTGACAAAAGGCCAGTTAATGGCTTTATGCCACATTCTTGCTAAGAGAGCAGAGAGGAGAAGAGCTCTGAGTGCAGACCACAACCAGACCATCCCCTGAGCCACTGTTTCCAGTTTGTCTCTCTGTCTCTGGGAAGTCAGAGCTCACCACATTCATCCCATGCAAATTGCACAGATCAGTTTATGCTCAGCAGAATGGGAAAGACAGTAGTGGCCCTGAATATTTTTTCCTTTGTCTTCTGTTGCTTCTCTTGCCCAAGGAAGGAAGATGACATCTAATACAGCCTATTCTGTTATGCAAGCTTCAAAATCAAGTAAGAACTGAGACCAGTATTTCCTTTTCAAAGTCCCCAGACTTTGCACCTAGTCAACAAGCAAACCTGCCAATCCTTCTATTCCTGTCAGCACAACTAGTGCAGTTTGCATCAGTTATGAGCCTCTCCACATGAGCAGCTGTTAACTTATTTCCAAACACCCACTTGCTGAGGACACTGGCCGTCCAGAAACCTTGGCCAAATCATTGTTGCTTACGAGTGCATCCTTGACATGAGAAAAGCAGGTCTGAGGCTAATGATGGCTCCATTCATTGAATTAGGCACAGGGGCTGTTCCATGCTCAGCTGTGTGGGAGGGATGCTGGAGCTCTTGACTGCAAACTCACTGATTTTGGACAGCTTGAGGCAATCTGCCTACTCAGTGTGGATGTACCAGAGAATATACTGCCGGTTGTTAAGATGATAACTCAATAGAAGTGTAATTTGTTGAGCAGTAAAGCTTCCTGCTTACACAACTCACAAGGAAATAATCTACAGCATTGTGGCATGGGAGGGCTGGAATTCAGGAAGTCAGAGACTTTCACTGTGACATTGCTGAGCAAAATTTGCCTTTGAAACCTGGTGTTCACATTTCCAATTTAGTTTGTCTCTAGATTTCATACAAGTAAAGTTCTCATGATGCTGGGAAGGAAAGAGAAAAGGGGAGGGGTAAGAAAAAAGTAGAGCTAAAAGAATGAATTAGGGTTATGCTGCATGCTGTGTACTGGCTATAAATCCTGCCTGCAGGAACAGAAGCAGAGAAATAATTATCTACTATATTTGAAATGTAATCTGCAAACTCCCAGCGTTGGATGGGTCTGATAGCGTAGAACAGCTGTGAGCAGGAATGTAGCCTCTGTTTGAAGCTGTTCAATAAACCCATCCAGCTGAGGAGGGCAGGAGAGCTTGGGCCTGCAGGACAGGATGAGGTTTGCTTGGTATTCTGCAGCAGGGAGGAGGAGGAAATCGGCCTTGTTCTCCTGTGCCCTTTGCTTGCTGATAAGCTCCAGAGGGAGCTGTGGCTTGCCTTTTTACTCAGAGATGATCACGCTACCAGCAGAGGAGGGATAAACCTGGGGTCCCAGGAATCTCTTTTTTTCTCTTTTTCTTCACTCCGATCCTTCATATGAAAAGTGAACTCAGCTTTTATTAGCTATCGTTAGAAAAAGTTATTTATAAAGCAGTCCAATGAAAATATATGTGATATACATAACATTTGATCTATTTGCTTTTAATGTTTGTAAGAACGTGTTGGGAATTCGTGTGAACACAGTGTTAGAGTCTCATGAAATCAGTGAAATTCCAAGGCAGCTACAGCTGTGCATTTTCATCAAAAAGGAATTTTAAACCACAGACAAATAGCTTTTCCTTATTACTGAAGCAGAGTATGTTTTCTTGATGCAGAGTTGATCCAGAAATATATTTCATTTTGAAGTGCTGTCAGCGTTTACCTCCTTATGCTCAACAAGACCGATTGTATTGAAAACAATGCGCAGCAAATGAGGACGCAAGGTTGTACGACTGCTGATGCATAACCACACATTTCCTTGTCAGCTCTGACACCCTCCCGTCCTGGGTGTGGGTGTCTGGTTTGCATAATCACCAGGCAGTTATTTATCAGCAAACACACCAGGCAAAGCCTTATATTTTAGCTGGCAGCCAATCAGACTGGGTTGATTTACGCCTCTTTGGAGGTGATGTTTATTTACATAGAGAACAGGCTGAATGCCTTTCTCTGCTCCCCAAGGAAGCAATGATGATTAAGGCTGAATAGTGAAGGCATGGAGCTCCCACTCTGCCCTGCGAGTTCACAGCTGCCAGGCAGAGTATTAGCAACACCAAGCTGTACAGGAATGGATGTGAACATCCTAAGGCGTGTTGCTTTACATTTAAAATAAACCAGTAGTGAAACTGGGCTTGGTTTAGGAATAACCTGTCTTTGGTTGGCTGCCACAGCTTTTAGGTTTAACTATCTCCTCCACTTGACAGTCTGAAGCTGCCAAAAGCAAACAGAAGCTTTTGTTTCTCTGTTCGTGCAGGAGAGATTTATGAAGGAAAGAGAAATACCTAAAAGTAGTGAGAACAGTGCCAAAATATCCAAGGGGTAAGTGCTCAAAGAATTGGTTAGAATTGTTCTTCTGTTGTTGTTAAGCATCATTGCTATCTGGTAACTCTGTAAGAATATGTACGTGTGCAGTTAGTGATGCTGCAGAAGAACTACATGCTTTATTAACTCTTTGGAACTTAGAATGAGTGTTGTGGTATGATTCTATGGTACTTTTTCCTCTGTGTTAAGGAAAATGCGTTGGGTAATGGAATTAATTTTCCACTTTTTAATTTTCCTGTGTAAATAAGTTCATAATACATGGCTATATAATTCTAATCCTTAAATGTGCGCCAAGTATGTCAGTTGACCAATCATGTCCACGCTAAAATTGTACCGAAAACCACATGCCTTTGGTGTCTGAATTCTGAAGTGTGGCTGAGGACCACCTCTGAGTGGTGTGTCCAGTTGTTTTCTCTGTTGGTTGGAAGGGTTTTGAGCTGAGTGTGGTACTGGTGCTGTTGCTGTGTGGCCTCCAGACCCTCATGTGTCTGGGAGAGGAGAAACCTGGATCCTCTGGTAGAGAAACTGGTTCATACACCAGCGATGCAAAGGCAAAGATCTGCAACAGCAACTGCTTGCTACGAAGAGCTGTGAACAATCTATTGGTTTCTATGCAGCATGCTACCAGTCCCTGCACAGTTGATTGTAAACAGGAAAAAAATCTAAAATATACTCAACTTTTTTTCACCTATTCAGTCAGGAATCAAATTGTAGCCATTGCTTTCTAGTTTCTCTTCATTCATCCCAGACCCCACACCTTTCTTTAAGTTCTCATAACATGAAGCTAAACAAAACAGACTATATCCTGGCTGTGGAAGAGGAATGGAGACTCAGATTAAACAGCACAAAAATATTTTCACCGTCTCAGGAAGCTCTGCCACAAAAGATTGTACCAAGGCAGGCAACAGAAACTTCATTAGCTTAGAAGTGCTCAGTGTGTTGAAAGCAGTGGAAGCGTTTAGGGGAGTGCTTTGCTGGGCTGCAGTCATGATCAACTCTTTCTCTTTGATCTGTCTTCAGATGTGGTAGTATGTTCAGAGCAGGAAACAGCACTTTTCTAATGTTCTCTAACCTCAAAAACAAAATGCCAAACATCTGTTTTTTTCTTCCTTTCTTTCCTCCAGCTTCTTTCTGCCAGAACAGACTATTCAATTGTATCCTCTGCAGCCAGGCAGGGCTGTGCAACGTGATTCCCTCTGTTGAAGGAGAGGAGAGTTGTGGTGTGGGGCTTCTGTTGCTGGAAGGAATTTTTTACCAGCTTTTTTCTTTGTGTGTGAGAGACATAAAGTGCTCTGGAAACACAGAGATTGCTCCTGTTAAGAATGGTTGTTTTCGCAGTTCCACTTTTGCCAACTTCAAACTGGTTAAGAAATAATAATAACAATAATAAAAACTTTACCTATACATATCCTAAATTCCTTGAGTGACAGAAATTGTTGAAAAAATCTATTTTCCCATTAAAAAAAATAGAATATGAATACTGATGCTTAGGTGGAGAGGGAGTTTTCAGTAACAAGAGCAAAAGCAAGGCAAATTAGCCTTTACTGATAATTAGTATGAGATTCTGATATTTTTAAGGTTCTCTGCTGCTCTGCCTTTGGCTTTATTATTCTTCTCCACAAAATCTTTAGTGCAGAATAATTAATTCATCTCCAAATACAATGAGAATGACTCACTCTGAATGCATGAAATATTTAAGGACTCTAGCAAAACATTCTGCTCCCCACAATGACCTGAGATAGTGATATTCTGAATAACAGGTTGGTACAAGACCTATATGACATATATATATTATATTATTATAATATATTATACATATATTCTATGACATAGAATCATAGTATCATAGAATTATAGAATGGTTTGGGTTGGAAGGGACATTTAAGACAATCTAGTTTCAAACCCCTGCTATAGGCAGGGACACCTCCCTATAGACCAGGTTGCTCACAGCCCCATCCAGCCTGCCCTTAAATGCTTCTGGGGAGTGGTCATCCACAACCTCTCTAGGCAACCTGTTCCAGTGAACAGGTCTAGAGTCCTCTACGTGCTATGGTAAAAATAAAGATCAGTGAGAATAAATATTCCATTGACCTTGCAGAAAAGGAAGAAAAACTGTTTGGTTTTAGAGAATGTTGGAACTTTGTAACTCACTCTTCTGACATCTTCTTCCAGTGTAGCCCTCAGTACAGGAGCACACGTTGGTTCGAACACAGTGGCCGCCATTCTTACAAGGAGGAATGCAGACAGCTGGAGAAGGAAAGGGAAAATTTTGTTGCACTGAAACCACTGCAGGTGTCAATATCACCTAAATATAGGCCCTTTATTGAGGTGCATGTGTTGGGAGAACAGTCTGCAGAGGCTTATTGGTTATTTGGGGTAGAGAAGATGCCTTTCCAAAGGGTAATTCTGGCCGATGCCCAGTTGAAATCTCAGTTCTCTCTGGTTTGTGGAAGGAATGTGGGACACAACTCCTCACACCTAATCTCTTCTAGATACCTGAAGCTAAGTGATGGGAATATCCCAGAGAACCTCTTTGGTTTTCAGCTCTAAATAAAGGGCTTCTCCAAAGCAGCTGCCCTTGAAATATCAGTGTTTGTTATTTGATATCTTTGTTTTGGTGCTATTCTTCCCCCTTCCTCAATGAAGCTGGCTTTTCTTCAGTATCCAGCCACTATCCAAATCAACTAGATGTTGAAAAGCACTTTCTGTGTTGAACATCAAGAGAAAAATCATTAAGTTACAGAGTCTGCATAATTTTTCCCTCTCACTTTCCCTGCCATCATCACAAAAACAAAGAGCTTCCAGCAACCTCTACTGTCATTAATCATTCACTTGCAAAAAACATGCATTAGGATTGCATTCATGTAGGAACTCCAGGGAAATAAAACAGAGAGAGAAAGAGAGATAAACATTTAATATTGAAATAGTTCATTTGGTAATAAGAGTGTATTTATATTTCCAGATTTGGGAGGGAGTTTTAAAGCCAAGCTCAATGCAGGTTATCTTTCAGCTATTTGAGCCCTAAACATAAGTTTCTTCCTCATGTCTGTCGTGCTTGGTCGAATGGGTAGTTAAGAGGATTTACTCTGGTTGGATATTAGGAAAAATTTTTTCTCAGAACGAGGGGGTGAAGTCAACATCCCTGGGGGTGTTCAAGACCTGTGGAGATGGGACAATAAGGGACATGGTTTGTGGGCATGGTGGGGTGGACTTGGACTTGAGGTTGGACTTGGTGATCTTAGAGGTCTTTTCTAGCTTTAACGATTCTATGATTAATTTGACTTCTGTAGCATCATTAGCCTCAGATTAGAGCTCTCCTGTTTAGGAGATGGATTCAAAACCAGGTCCTACACAAAAATTAGGCTGTGTGATATTTGATCAGATATTTGAGTAAAGGCCTGAAGAAGTCCTGTAAGTCTCCCATCCACAACATGTTAGGATGGTCGAGCAGGTGATATGTGGAGGCACATCTGAAGAAAAATCATCATCTGGCTCTGAAACACACTGTAATGCCCACTATAGAATGTAAAATGAACAAAGTTGAGCTATACTTTAAAGTTTAATTGACTAGATGCTCATCAGAGAGAGAATTGTCTTAAAATAGCTATAGATTAATTGTTTAGTTATCATTAATGCCATCCTAAATAGGTGCTTGCTCCTTCACAGTACTGTTAAGAACACTTTAATGCAGATTTACGACAGACCACAACATCCACAGAACATGCAGGGAGTTATGACAAGGCAAATCTCTCGATATACTGCATGTGGGGGCAGGCAATGATATAGGCTGCTGTTTATGTTTTAAGCCTGCATCCTTTATCAACATGATGAATAGAACTTTCTTACCTCTCTGGCACTGGGGCCCATAGAAACCGTAAGGACACGTGCAAGTGTTTGGTCGCACGCAGATTCCTCCATTTAAGCACACAGGGTTGCACACAGCTGTATGTGAATGTAAGATAAATTTATTAATCTCTTATCACTCTGAACCTTTACACTAGATGCTCTTTTGCTGCTGCACACATCATTGGAATTAATATTGCAATGCTGTGATAAATTTCACGCGATCCTTACTGGTCAGATGGGCTGTGGCATTTATTCATTGTCATCACAGTGGGTGCATTTCAGTGGTGTTTTAGCATAGCTAGAGGAATGAAACCAAATATTATATAATAGTTTATTTCTGATATCTTCCTTTGGCTTGCCCAGCTTGTTTGCTTTTACGTTGGTATCCTGACCACCCGCGATCCCCAGGTAACAAAATCCAGCCACACTGCAAACAGTCTGGATAACCTGGAAAAGAGATATTGGCCATTTGCTGCTTTGTCTGAGTGCAGCAGAGCAGAGTGGCATTTCAGGGAAGCTGAATAGGTATGCACCAGAAAACCTCTGTTTGTTCTGCCTCATTTAAATGCCAGTTCCCACAAACATATTGGTTCATGTATCATCAACAAAGCTACTGGCTTTGCCTGTTTATTTGTCTGTTATTACTATAGATGATATAACAGGCATTAGGAATTAAAGGCTGTCTGACATATTTCTATGTGGCAAGTACCTGACTGTAGTAAAAAAAAAAAAAAAAATGTATTTCAGCTGTGAACTATTTCAGTTGGGAAGTCGCTGTGTGAAGAATAAGGACAATTGTGCAGGTTTTATTATGGAGCGGCACTTTAAAATAGGCTTTTTCCTTCTATCCCTTTTGTCTTTCAGTGTCTTACAGAATAGCCCATTAGATAAATTAAATAAATTTAAACTTAAATAAATTAAGCATCGCTAAAATGTTTCAGAAGAACTAAAGGAGAAATAAAATGTCAATTTGGAGAGAGAAAAAAGTGAAATTGTAGTCTAGATGAGAGGCTATTCTGACTAAGCAGCAATCACTTAAGAAGTCAAAATGGACTTTGCTCATTGCTAATGGTAAATTTGGATTAGTTCCCTCTTTGTCCCAGCTAGTTCACAGATGTCCACACTCTGTCAGTGTTTGTATTTCCATCTGTAAAAACCCTTTAGGAAGGAAAGCCCAACAGTATCCATGGAACGCTCTGCCTAGCACACACAAAATTGTGCTGGAAAGCTGAAGCTGGTATTCTTTCATTTTAGGTATTGTCACACAAACAAACTCCAAATCTTCTGTTTTGTGTTGAAAATTACCACCTCTGCTGCTGCTACTTGTTCTACCCTTAGAATAATCCTGTCTCCATCTGTTGCCAGTACACATGTGCAAAATGCAAGGAGAGTAATTTCTGGCAGAAAGAGGAGATAGGGGGAACCACAATAGATAGTGGCAATCCCAATCATTTACACTGGATCTTAGCTAGGCTAATTTATGTGTCTGCCATAATTTGGGTCTGCCATTTAGAAAAAATCTCAGGGAGAAGGATGTGAAGATGACATCCCTCACCTGCCAGGAGAGGTAATGTAGGCTGAAGGTGTCTTAGTCGTTAATATTTGCCATGGAAAAGGCAATTGCCTCTATAGCTTTGAGGTCTGGCACTGATTAAGATACTTCTCATGCTTGCTTCTTTTCATATTTCAGTTTTGCATGCCTTGTCCCAGGTGAGTGCTATAGTGGCTGTGCCTTGAGAAGAAAGCATGTGTACTCCAGCGTTTGTACTTTGGCCATGGGATGAAGGTCTTAGCTACAGCTATTCTAATAGGGTTCAGAGCTATCAGTCCTGACTGATAATAGGTACCTAATTCTGGGCCTTACCTTGGCATTTTGTGCTGACTGTTGGTGATGGTTTTTCCCTGAGTGCAAGTTTTTTGTAGGTGCTTTGCATGTATTAAGTGCAGCCAAGAGGAGCAGTTAAATATCCTACAGTTATCAGGGGAAGTGGGTAGTTAAATTCTCCTTCTAAACCTACTTTTGTTCAGTCTTACACTGTTACAAGCCATCTTCTGTAATGGCAAAACTGGATCCAAGAAATAGACCAAAAAAACCTTGGTTAATAGGCAGGCTTCTGATAACTTCCCTTCTTTCGGTTCATTTTTCTTCCTTAGACTACAGAGTACTGGAACTGTAGCAACTGTAGTTGCTAACTTAGCAGCAGAAGTCATGCTGACCTGCTTGCATTGTCTTCCTAGCTTAATCAGCCCTCCTATTTCTGTCTCCATAGTCTCTATTTTGAATCTCAGATTTTACTGTATCCTGTTATAAATCGCCAAAAGCCAGACCATTCTTCTTTCTCCTAACCTTGAGAGAAAAGTGTAGGGCTACAAGCAATGAAACAAGGGAATTGCATGGATACTGAGCAGTGCATTGCCCTCACCACTGCCACTAAGGCACTGGGACTGTTAGACAGGAGTTCTTTGAGCTCTGCATGGACAGTGCCAATGCAGAGCGAGTTCATGTCCATGGCCATGGTGATTTTTGAAGCATTTAAATGAAAATATAAATCAATATAACGCCAAAATCTCGACTGATAGTTATTTCCTTGGCAGAAGATATCAAGCTTCCCAAGGTTGAAACTGCTGACATGGTGAAGAACTTTATTTTCACACTAAGGATAAATTCCGGCATCACATGAGCTTAAAAAAAGATGCAAAAATATTCTGCTTGTGGCTTTCCTGTAAGTGGCCCTGAGATTTAGCTAAACAGCCAAGCTTATGAATACTCACATAATTTCAAGGCCTCCTGAGGCTTTGCCCTTTACTATGTCTCCTGCTCTTCTTACATTTCAATTTTTCAAGCAGTTCCCACTTTGACTGCTGAATTATACAAATCACGTGGATTTCAGGCAGGAAAAGAAAGGAGCGACCAATGGTTTCTAACAGCTTACCTATTTCACAGGAAGGGCTGCTCCATCCGCTTCTGCATTTGCACTCGTCTGGCGACACACAGACCCCGCCATTATGGCAGTGCCTGTTACACACCACTGGAAAGCACAGAAAGGAATTTAATCTGTTATCAGTTATACTGATGTGGGTCATAAAGGTGCTCAATTACAGTGAATAACTAATTGTTTTAGTCCAAAAGTAAACCAAGCGGCGATTCTGTCCCTTCCTTTGGTTTTCTTTCTCTTTTTGCTCATTCTTTCCATCAGAAGTCTTGCATCTAAAATTCTTTGGTCTTGAAGTATTCAAACTACCTTGGCTCACAGATAAAATTATGTTCCTGTCAGTAGCAACCTGATATTTAAGTCAGCTGCGAGATCTGTAATGCAACTGCATTTGTTTTACCATTCAACCTATATGAAACAGTTTGAAGGCTGATTTTTTTCCCCAGACATTGAATATATTTTCTATGTATTAAACCTCTTTCATGACTTGTTTTGCACAGTAATATTACCCAAATAGGCTAATTGGCATGGCCTTTTTATGTTCTCACAAGCACTATTACTGCATTCACTCCTACAACCTCACATTTCATAAATGTTGCTATAAATAACATGGAGTTTTTTCCTTGTTTGTTTTTCGGGAGGCAATTTTATGTGGAATATGTTGACACAGATGTACATATTTTTACATAATACAGCTATGTTGCTGGTTTATATGTGTGCTGAAATAGTTCAGCTGCTGTATTACTACAAAATACTATGCTTTGATTTCCTTGCTGTATTCAGTCAGCATTTTAGAGGGAAATACAGGAATATAAGAAGGCTTTTTTTGTGCTTTATCATTTAATACAAACTCAAACATGTAAGGAGGAGAGAAGGTTCCAATAATTTGTACAAACTTGTTTCACATCGAGGACCAACAAATCCATAGGCACAAGAACAAGTGTTCTGAGCTACACAGGTTCCTCCATGCTCACACGGTGGGTCACACTGCACTGCAAAAAGCACAGAAAGAGTAAAGCATGAGAAAAAGCAAACAGCTCCAGCACTGAGTTTGGTGCAGTTATGAGCACAGTATTCGTTACTGATTTTCACAAGCTGTTTAATTAATCCAACAACCAATTGTGCAGTATAAAAACAGGTATTGCGTTAGTAATGCGGTGCCCACATGATCATTTTGTTTCACTTCTGAGTGTGTCCATATGTAAGTGCATACTTTTGAACTGGAAGACTAATTACAAACGTGGTTTGTAATACTAAACACCTTGCCCATCCCTCCATCAAAGTTATCCTCATGGATAATTGGTGATCATCTCTCTTTGAATCCATTTGGCATTGCTGCCTACAGCGACCAGAAATAAGGCTGTGTTTAGATGGGGATTATTCCGTTTTCCTCGGTAACAGCAATAAGGCAAGAGGTCCTTAAGTTGCTCCAGGTTCAGGTTAGGCATTGGCACAGGCTGCCCAGAGAGGTGGTGGAGTCACAATCACTGGAGGGGTTCAGGAACCAAGGAGATGTGGCACTGAGGGCAGTGGGCATTGTGGAGGTGGGTCCATGGTTAGACTTGGAGATCTGAGAGGTCTTTTCCAACCTTCACGATTCTATGATTGTCTGTTCAGTGAGCCCTAACAGGTGTCAGAAGTTACCCTGAACAGAGGGGAAGTGTTTCCTCTGCATAGAAAAGGGTTGTAAGGAAATTTGTCACCAAAATGACCGACATTTAAACAACAATTTAGATGTTCAATAAGTAGTGTGTGAGCAGCAGCGAAAGCAGGAAGTTATATAATAGACTCTTGATCTTTTGCAGTCGGCAGTGTTATTCTGTGGAAGACAGTTTGAGCATAAAGCTGGAAATCACTGCAGCTCTGGAGAGACGTTATTTGCTGAACTCAGAGGACTTTTGAGGGAGTATTAGATTGCTTTGTTGTTTTTTTTTTTGTTTTTTTTTCTAAGCACTTATGATTCCCATCTAGAGTCTGATTTCAGCACATTCCTAATGGCTTTAATTCTTCACGGGGCTGGAAGATTTAATGTCCTAAACTTAGGTTAAGGTAGAGACCTAACATTTGGTGTCTGTATTTGTAACCTTCTTACAAGAGGTATTCTTGTATGACAAGTTCAAGAGAGTAAAGAGGTCACTGCTGTAGGAAGTGCGCTGAACTTTATCCTAAGAAGCAAAAGCAAGGCATATGTGTCAGCTGGAGCTCACTTATGCCCTCAGAAAAAACAAAACAAAACAACCCACATGATATAACAGTGTGAAAAATATCTATCCATGTGCTTGAGGAGTGAACACAGAGAAAAATGTTGTACTTTGCCACACTTTACTGGCAGAGATGCATATTTTATAATGGGTCTGAAGCTAAGCAAGGTTGTTTCAAGGAAAATGCATAATAGCAAAGAAGCTACAGAGATCTGAAAGAAAGCATCTTTCATTTTAAGTATTGTTCGAAGGGAAAAAAAAGCCAAAGTACATTTTGTTCTTAAAACTGGGAAATGTACTGCGTAATTGGAAAGCTGAATGAAGGACAAATATTTGTGGCAGCATGGAATTTCAATGAAGCTCACGCATTGAGGGCCTCCTCACCTTTGTGCTATCACCAAGCCTTCAAAGAAAGCCATGGCGTATTTACATTTTTTGCTACCATTTAGTTTTAAAGGTGAAATTCCCAGTACTGCATTAACATAACTTTAGGATTTCTCATGCCTGAGCACAGAAAACTAGATATAGTTCAGATCCATACTATTCATGCTGAGAATGTCATTAAGCTAAATTCAGTTTTGATTTGATGGGCTATAAGGTTTAGACATTTGCAACTCAGCATGTGTTTAGCTGAAATTTGAAATGTATGTTTGGGGGAAAAAAAAAAGAATAAAAACCCCACATTTTCTGTGCAGCTGAATAGGTTTGGTTTAGATCTATTTAAGCAGTTAGCATTCTGCTTTCCCTAAGTCCTAATCCAGCCCTAGCAGCTGCAGCAGGTCAGAGGCTCGGGCAGCCTGGGGCCTCGTGCTATTAGGACAAGCAGCAGGTAGCAGGCCACGATGAAACAGCAAGGGGAAGAAAGGCGAAAGAAATGGAACCTGTTTTCAAAGGAATTTGTTATCCTTTTTAAATGGCAGCGCTATATTTATGTCACCTCTCACATTCAGAGACTTATGACAGATATTGCTGAAGTTAAGGGCAGCATTCTGCTTTGAGAGGGCATCCCAGCCTGACCGAGGCAAATGCACACTTGAAACATTTAACTCTTCTGTGCTTGGGGAAGTGCAAGGACGTGCTTACAACAGATTTATCTGAAATTAGAAATTAACAGTGGGTTGAACTGAATGATATGAGGGGCTCCAAGAAAGAAGGAGACATACACATATTCAATGGATGTGTATTCAAGATGTTGTACTAAGGGACGTGGTTTAGTGGGGAAATATTGGTGATAGGTGGATGGTTGGACTGGGTGATCTTAAAGGTCTTTTCCAACCCTGGTGATTCTACGATTCTATGCTTTATCAGGGTCTGTTGTGATAGGACAAGGGGAAATGGTTTCAAACTAAAAGAAGGCAGATTTAGATTGGACGTAAGGAAGAAGTTTTTTACAGGGAGGATGGTGAGGCACTGGTGCAGATTGCCTGGAGAGGTGGTGGGTGCTCCATCACTAGAGACACGCAAAGTCAGGGGGACAGAGCTCTGGGCATCCCTGTTCGTTGCAGAAAGTTGAACCAGATGGCCCTTAAAGGTGTCCCTTCCAACTCAAACGATTTTATGGTGCTCTCTGTATAGAGACGGAAACACAAAACCTGGGAAAAATGTACTGCTCTTTGTGAAGTACATGCAGTGCATTTCCTTTCTGGCAGTACGACGGCTGCATAAAGCCTCCAGGTGCCTCTGCACTATGCCAAGCTCAGTGACATTCAAACGCATTACTCTTTATTTCAACGCGTTTTGTACTTAGCACTTAGAGCGAATGTGTCCATTCAAATAGACTACTTTCCATCTGCTCTTTACACATTTCGAGATGCATCTGAACTGTCAGAAAAGAACATGGTGTTTTGTATATTAAAACATTTTGCTCTTATTGTGACATTTAATAGCAAAATGTTTAAAACTATTCTATTACTGGTGAATAGCAAAAGATAAAAGCTGAACAGTGGCTGCACTGAAAAAGGGAGAGCAACATTCACCTAAAAGACATTTTTCTCAGTAATAGAAATATAGTGTTCATGTCAAATTCTTTTCCAAGACTTCTATCTTTCATCTTCTAGAATGAACATTTTTTTTTCCATAAACATTTGCTAAATTGTACAAAGATATTGCAGCGTTTTTATACTAAACATTTTCAGATGGTATAAGATAACAGTTAAGAGAAAAGCATTGCTGCAAATGGTCAATCTTGCTGTCAGATGTGTTTATGTTTTTGTTTATAATTTAAAGTCTGGAGGTGAAAATGGAGAATTCCATTATTGTTTTATTTGAAAAAGCTTTTTGGAAAATATCTTGAAACAACTTTTTTTTCCCATTAAAATGAGATCATGCACTTTTTATGTGTTTCTCCTCCATAACTTTGGGGCAAATCAGAAATACTGGATGTTGTGCTGCTTTCTCCATTTGAGATACTTTAATCAGCAAATGGCTTCCAGGACAGTTATTGGTTCACATCTCAACAATGAATAACTGTTGCTCAGTCCAACCAGAGGGGCCCTGGTCTTGCACGAAGGCAAGACTTGTAGCTGTGAGGTCATCACCTGCAGTTTTTGTTAAAAATGTGAAAAACAGTGAGGTTGGAAGGACTTCACAAGGGAAGAGTGTAGTCTGCCTTGTTTCTTTTAATTATTATACTGCATTTATTTTCTTCAAAGGTGCGCTAACCTACTTTCCTAAAAGTGCAGATAAAGTTTGTGCAGCAGAAGAGAGGGAAAAAAAGTGAAATAAAGTTATGTTGCAGGCCCTCCAGTTTTTCAGTTTTTCCCCTTTAATGGTTATGAAGCGAAGCCTTGCTTTTGAATGTCCTTTACAGAGAAAAACAGTAAAGCATAGCATTAAAGCATACGCTTAAAGCATGCATTAGTGCAATTAAAAGTACTCAGATGCACACTTGTATAGACTAATAGTCCAGAGTCCATTTATGAAATAAATACCCATCATAACAAATAGAAAATTAACAAGATTAACTTAACTGAATAAATTGGGAGTACAAATGCAGACAACAGTTATGATTAGGCTGTACTAATGGATTTTGTTTTGTGAAATGTCAGCTGAGTGCTCATCTGCAGTCAAAAAAGCAAATAAAATGTTGGGAATTGTTAGGAAATGAGCAGAGCACAGAATGCCAGACTTTATTATGGCCTGTATCCATGGTGAGCTGCATCTTAAATACCATGTGTTGCTCTGATCCCCTAGCACAGGAAGGCTATATTAAGAGTGGGAAAGATACAAGAGTAAGTAGTAAGGATAACCAAAGTTGAGGACAAGGTTTTGTATGTGTAAGTAGATTAATTATTTGGGAAAAAGACTATGTTCTCTACAAACGTTATGTTTTTAGTTGGTAGGGCACTGAACAGCAAAACTTTGTATGGGTTCATAGAGCAGTTGGATAAATTCATGGAAGAAGTATTTGTTGGGAAATATCACTTATAAAGACTTCACATTTGCTTTTTAAAGCACACAATGCATAAGTTACTATTCTGGACAGTATCTTTATATTTCTTTCCCAAATAATTCTGGGCATCTGCTGTTAGCAGCTGTTGGAGACAGGGGATGGACTTTTGGTTTGTTATGGCAGAGCTTTTTGTGTGTAAAATGTCAGATCAGAAAAATGTCAGCTCTCTGATTGTTAAGCCTAGTTTCATCCAGCTGCATATCCTGAGGTCGTAATACATTCCCAACTACTTTTTCTTTCCCATTATTCTGAAAATTATTTGGTTTTGTAGTGTCAAGGCAATGGTGTATTTTAACCCTTGAGAAGAATGCATGACTGCTACCATTTGAGATTTCCCTTTCCCTTGGGAAACACTCTACAAAGTCTGTAAGACATCCCAGAGTTTAACTGACTTCAGATTTGTAATAAAATACTTGTTTCTAAAGTAGTACAACTTTATTCTCCATAGGAATTCTGAGGAACTTTTGTCTACTAAAAACTAGAAAGATAATAGTCTGTAACTGTCAACTAATCCAAAATGGTTTTAAGTACCTGTGTTTTACAGAACTGAGCATTTGATTTATTTTAGTTTTAGTAATCAGACATTCCCTATCAAATAAAGTTGGGTTTTGAGAAAATAAAATCAAAAACGATCAGGAATTTGGCTTAATTCTTAATTATTCTTCACTCTTCGGGTTTTGGTCTCTTGGAAAGAAGCAAAACAAAAATGCCCAAAGCAGATTTTTCTGTCAGCTTCGACTCTGTTATCGAGTGGAAAGGACATGTTCCACCTTAGGGCACCCTAAGGAGCTCAAGAAATGTAACAGCTGCTCTCAGACAGTACCATATGCGCAGACCCTGGTGAATAAAATGAGCCCAGGGAAAAGACAGCATTTGTCTCCTCATCCAACGGATGCAGTGTCACTGAAAGTGCAGGCCTATGCCCCTGTTTTGAAATGGAGAATGGAAACAGGATGGCCAGCAGTTGACCTCAGGTGGTAGTAACACTAATGTGTATTTCTGAGCATTATCCTCTACCCTTACGCAGTGACGTGTTCCTGTGTCACTTACACTGGGCTAGAGAAAATATTAGAAATGTTCTGAAAGCAATCCTGTTTGAACTAACTATTCATTATGAAAGGATTCATTTTTTAATTCTTGCCATAGTGAGCTAAAATATTTAAAGCCCTGCAGGTGTTAGGCCATTCTTACAGTGCAGATCTGGCAATGGTAGGGACTGTCCCATAACGCTGCTAAGAGCCTACCATAATAAAATATTTTTATAGAATTTATTTTTGTCATTGGTACAGGCTGCCCAGGAAGATAGTAGTGTCAACCCCTGGAGGTGTTCAAGAAAAGGATAGATATTACACTGAGGGACATGGTTAGTGAGCATGCTGGGGATGCGTTGATGGTTGACCTTAGTGTTCTGAGTGGTCTTTTCTAATCTTAATGATTCTATGACGTGTATAACGACATGTAGAATAGAAATTATAGATTTAGTAACCTTCCTCATTCCCAAAGGAACTCTTAGAAGTTTATTCCACAAAGAAAAGCAAGCTTCTTCTGCAAGTGAATGTGCAGAAGAATCCAGTGGACAGCAGTAGGCCTTATTTCTCCTGCTTATTTTTAATTATACTATAGGTGATGTCAGCTTTCTCTAGAACAGTGTTTGCCAGAGCCCTGCCAATGTAGCAGACACACCTTAATATTAGGCCATTGACAACTGATAATTCTGCATGAAGAAAAAAGAGCTCTAAAACTAAGAACCTGGCTAGCTGTAGGAAAGGGTGTGGAAGTGATGAGTAGATCCTTGAAGAACTACTTCATTTTGGTTCACCAATTGGCTCCTGCTAGAAATAAGAGAATTCACTCTCTAACGCTTATTTTGTAAGATGGGTAAAAACAAGTTCCTATGTTTTAGATAATAAAGAAACAAAATCCAGCATAATTTATTTTAGAAGAAAAATTCATTTTCATGATGCGCTTATTTTCTCCCTACCAGTCTTTGCCAGCTTGATTTTGAATCTGCACAACTGAAAAATAAAAAAATCTACATTCTGTCACAAGACAAATGCCACTCGGTAAGGCATTTATTATCTTAGAATATTTTCAGACATTCTTATTAAACAAAGGTCAAATCCCCTCAAGCTCCACAGGTATTAAACCTTGCTACCAATGGACTGCTCCTTTTATCTTGGTGAATTTTGATATCAAATGGCATGGTGACAGCTCTGTGCGCAAAGTTTGGTCTCATCTAAACTTTGGTCATTTGTTTAGTTTTGCTGCCATCTTACAGGGTACTGTTGTTTTGAAGACAGTTGGTACAATCGACAGCAGGCACTGTGACAAGTCCTTAATTATTGCAAGGGATTATCCTCACCTTTGTGCTCTGGGTTGGCAGTCACAGGTGTACAAAGGGGCTTGAGAGGAGGCAGAGAGGTTTGCTGTTGAGCCAGGTGATGCGCGTAGTGACAAGAGACGAATAAAGGATGTTTGTGTGTTGTGCCACCAAGCCCCGAGACAGAGAATGATATTGGTAATAAAGTATTTCATCTTAAGGACCCTCCAGAGGGATTTTCAGAAATGCCAGTAATTGAAGAAAACGTCTTGTCTTGCGTGACAGCAAGAGGCACAGGTAGATTTATGTTTTAAGGACTATGCCGATGGACGTACTAAATATATTTATACAAGGGCAGCGTATGTCTGTGTTTGTATACATTCATGTGTCCATAGGCCATGTCTTTGAGGAGAGGCCATTCTGCATTCCAGCTTGCACAGGGCTTCCTGATACCCAGAGCTCCTCAGTATGTTTCCAGCTCCAGGCACAAAACAGGGATGAAAGACAGGGTCATGCTCACACCAAGTAACCTTCAGCCCTTTAGAATGGTCTTTTCGAAAATGGTGCAAGCAGGTGAAAATTATGACACACAGGATTATGGTAAACTTTTCTTATGCATTTTTGCAGTGTGTCTCCAGGATTGAGCTAAGCTCAGTGCTGCTGGGGCTTGTGCACAGCAGGGAATCCCCAGGATGCTGAGGTGGGCTGCCACCCCACACACCTCTGTGCCACGCATGCAGAATGTGAGCAACCACACACAGAGAGAATTAAACAGGCAATGCAAACAGTTTTTTGCTTTGTGTACTGAAAGGCCAATTAAGACATCAACTTATCAGAGGGATTTCAACAAAAGGTGTAATTAACAAGAGCTCAGTCAGGGAACTCATTGTTTTAAAAATGTGTGAAATACTATTGCTTTCCTGAAGTGTTCTAAGCTGTCTAATAAATAAGTCAATATATTGTGAATACCTTTCTGGTGCCATCTGTTTTGGATAACAGGTTTGGTTTTGTGTTTAGGATATTAGATAATTATTTAAAAGTAATTCTTAAGGTAGTAGAACAATTAGTTCTTCATAGAGTTTCATTGTATAGACAAATGGAGTCAATTTTACTCTTTCTCAGAGAAGTTTTGTATGGTTTCAAATCTAATGACTTCACTAGAATGAATCTGGCCTTAAGCAAGGGTAAGCAAGAACACAACCTATCTCTGGTTTCAGTAGATTAGATATTATCAAATAAATGCGTCATTTTTGTGCACAGAAAGGTCTTTTTCTGAGTAATAGGATAACTTTTTCCATTATTCTAAAATATAATTGGTTTTGAAAACCGGTATGATTCCAGCTTGCAAAAATCTCTACATTTGTAATCAAAATTATTTATTATTTTGGACTTTGATTGGATTTGAAGGCATGAAAGAATTTGAATGAGGATTTCCCCCCCCTTACCTTCACATGTAATTCCATTACCGCTGTATCCACTGGGACAAGACCCACATTTAAATTCTCCATCTTTGGCTAGCTCACACTGCACACCACTAAAGCATGGTGTTGAACCACAGAGAGCTTTCTCATAGGACCCACTGATGGGTTTTGGCAGTTCTGCATGGTCCATTGCTACACTGGATGCTCTTCTGAAGGTTGTGGTATGTGCTGGAAGCCTTGCTGGGGGAGCAGGTCCAGGCAGGACACTGGCACTCTGTGGAGCTGTGTCAAGGGAAAAACCTATTTCATGCAAAGGGGATGTGAGGGATGTTTCCAAAGAAGAAACTCTCTGCTGCTTTGTTGGGAGATTTTTGGAGAGTTCAGTCTTTGAGCCTGTCACTTGACTGGGCCATTTCCTGGAAGATAAGCTGTATCTGGAACGAGCTTGCTGTACAGCATGCAGCCGTGCGAAGAGTGAGCTTGCGTTTGTGTTGAGATGAGAAGGAATGGTCTGTCTTGTTCCTGGCTTGTACTGTTTAAAATGCACAGGGGTAGGAGTAGTCACATTGACAGCTGCTGCTTTGGGATCTGGCTCCTCATGCAGAAGGAAAGTGTGTGTATGACTTCTTTTTTCAGTAAAAGTCTGTTTCTCAGATACAGTGGACTCTGTATCAGGTATTTTTGCTGACAGCATCTGAGGCTGGGAAATCTTCCTTTTCGTTGTAAAGGATGCTGCATTAATAACTGTGTGGTTTCTTTCCACAAAGTATGTAGTTTCTTGCCTTGGAATTTGGGTTTGGGATAGGAACGAATAGATGTTTCTTGATGTCTTGCCTTCCTGATGAGAGCCTCTGGCATCTTCACTATTTCTTTCAGCAACATCTGTATGGCTTTGGGAAGATCTTGAAACTAGGGCAGAAGAAATATATATATTAGTCAAATTTGCTTGTCTGTTGTTTGAAGAAAACACTATGACCATTTAGATTATGAGCAAACAACAGAATATCAATTCTAGAAGAAAATGAGATAATCTGTCATCTGTGTTCAGGGCATATCTATGCTGGCTGGTACAGAAATAGCACAGTGTATCTTGTGTGTAATAGCATAGGGAACTGCAGAATAGCTGTTTGTGAATGAGATGAAATATGTCTATGTTGGCTTAATACAGAGCCTAAGGCAGTAAATTCTGTGAAGGTCAGATATAATTATTTGAGGTTACAGGTCACAGCTAGGCAGAATCAATTTCCATGCTGGTTTACCAGTTTCAGCCTATGCTAGTCCATGTTGTTTTGATACTGTGTGCCATTCTCTGGGGCATTGTTCAGTCTGTGACCACCTGAGCTAAGATTTATTTCTGGTTACCTGTGTATGTTGCAATAGGGTACCGAGAGATGTTCTGCTAGGCAGTACGTAATGCAGGGACTTTGCATTCAAGTTCCTGCAGTCTAGGAGAAGAATGAGACAATGCAGTTTGGGACAGATAGAGATCAGAGATGGAGAAATGAAGAAATGATGAGATAGTCCTTATGGTAAGATCATGTCCTAGGCAGATTTGAATACATCATTGTATGACTTTTGCAGTCCTTATGGCAAAGGAAAGTTTGAGGAAAGCATGTAAAGGAGACAAATGGAAAAGCTTTGTTAATAGTGTGTACAGCTCCCTCCAGACGTGAGGGGCAGCATGTAAGAAAGAGTGCTGGTTTGTAACTGTCACCCACTTGTTACAAAGCCAGGCACCTTTTCTGTTGGAAGGAGGGATGATAGATGGAGAGAGGGTAGTCTGTGAAGAGCCTTGGAAGTGGAGACGAGTAGTTTGAATCAATACTTTCAGGAAGATTAATGGCTATCTGCTGACTCTAATGAATGGAAGAAGCTATTTTTAACCAGTTCTGGCATACTCACTCCATAGGAAACAGAATATATTGGATTCTGAACAAAAAAACCTTATGAGGTTCTAGAGTTAACCCTATGCGAGGTGTAACTCTACCTTTTGAATATAAATAATCAATTTCATAAAACTCCTGTTGATGTAGAAATTAGTCATAGTTAGCAAGGAAAGAGATAAAGGCACTTGGCGAAGGTCAAAAAGAAACTTGGAACGTTGACTAGATCAAAGGAAATCCTCACAACCAAAAGCTGTGTTTATTTAGTTGGTAAGCAGTATCATTCTTCTGCTGGCAGATGAGTTTTTGTTGCCCTGGAGCATGATGTTTTAGAGTGGTACGTGATGCTGGATCAAGCTATGGATATCAGCAATGGGTAAATACAGGACTTTACTGTCCAGGACAAGGCTGATTAATGATGCATTTCACAGAATGGAAGAAAGGAGATCTTCAGCTAGGAAGAACATTAGCAGCAAGAGTACGAAAGATTGAAGTCAAAGGATTTTTATCAGTGAACCTGAGAAAGATGAAAGAAATATCCCCACAGAAAGTTATAAGTAACACGATTGTTGCTGCCTTTACAAAATTTGATTCAGGGACCAGAAATAACATGAATGGTAGAGAAAGGCCAAATGATCTCTCTGACAAATTTCCCAAATGAGCCCTGATCACAGCTTCGAGCTCCTTCCACTGTATTGTAATCAAATATTTTTTCATCCTGGATGAGTTTTAGTAGCTACTGAGGGGATCTACTCTCTACCTGAGTTAGGGAAATCTTTTAATTCCTTAAGAGGTGATATAGGTTATATCACCTTGCAAATAATCTTCAGCCTTCCCTGTAAGTGAGAACGTGCTGTGGTTGGAGTGTGTCTATGACAATGCAGTTTTTACATCTCAAAGAAATACCAATGAAGACCAGTGATAGACTTTGGTTGTTTGTTCACCACGTGTAAAGATTAAGGTTTCTTATCACGTTATTTCAATGGACCATCAAACTTCCTAACATATTAACATGGGAACCTGGCATTGATCAAATTTGGCTGCTTCAGTGTTCTTTCAGCCTTCGTTATTTCATATTCTTACTTATAAAGATATGTGACATTTAGTTCGGATTAGAAACTGATAAAATTATTCTGGTGTACCTGAAAAATTATTTCTGCATTTTTCCAGATATCGAAATACTCCAAAACAAAGAAATATACCCAAAGACTGCAGGCTCAGTTGTCTGTAGTCAGCAGCTTTCTCAAATTCTGTATTACTCCAATTTATTTTCCTTGCAGTCGATCAATATCTTCAAATGTATAACCCATTATTAATGCAGAAATGTGATTGTGTGAATCTGGTTTTCTCTGTGATGCCACTGTATGATTACATATTGGACTGGATGAAAATAACAAAAAAATTGACAAGACAAAGTGCTCAAGGTTATACAATGGTACAAAAATACATTCTCACTACCCTAAGTATTTCTGCCTGTACTAACTGGGATACGTGCAGCAGTGGGAGTGACTGTTAATTCTTCAGTCTTGGATAAGTGACTGATAATCTGATGCTTTGTTCCAGCAGTGTGTGGAAGATACTCCATTCCTATCAATGCAGATAAACCACTGTAAGTACAGTGTAATGCCAAGATGGATCCTGTATGGCAGGAAACAGAACAAAGGAGACCAGATTTTAGAGAAATAAATCCATCCCTCATCCAATTCAATACTGGAATATTTCCATCTATGTGGAGCTGGAAGTCCCCCACATGAAAACCCCTCCATTGTTGGTTTACCCAGTGTTTGAAGTTCTTTGTGTTGCTTATATTAAGTTTATACATCAGAATCATCATAATCAGTATCTGGTTCATGCATGCCAAAGCCACGGTGATGTTGTTAAAGTACAGCAAATTCTGATTTCTTCTTTTGCCTGAATGGCATTTTATGGTATCTACTAGTTATCCGTAGATGAATTGGATCGTGTTCATTCTGAAGGTAATAAAACAGCTATAAAACCTAGTGAAAATAGCTGTTCACAAACACAGCAGACACTCAACAGTCTCTAAAATCCAAGCTGAGTTGACAACACTGAAACACAGAAAAGCAATCTAAACTATTTTCTCTTTTTAGTTTCTAGCTATTTTTTGCATTTGCAACCTTTCAGAAATAGACTATGTCTAGACTTAAACTGGGAAAAATCCCATTCCTTTCTGGCATCAATCATTTCTCAGAGAGAGGGAATTTCATTCTCTGCCTGGGACAGAATGGACCATGCCAGTGACCTTATTCCTCTGTGCTGTTTATCCAAGTCTTCGCTAGTCTTAGACTCAATCAGCTTCAAATAATGCCCTGGAGACACTTAGAGCCATAGCTGACAGCTCACACTCTTGATGTAAACTTCTTATAGACGTGAGTAGTTACTACCACTCCATTGACATGCTTCTCTTCACAGCTATTAGTTAGAAATTTAAAGTTATTTATTTTAAATGTAAGCATGCTTTTTTACGTAATCACATCAGCATTGCCCTGTAGTCCCTGTGTCGTAATCCAGGTGTTGCTTTGTCCTTTAATCCACTAAAATTCCCAAAACCAGTCTACTCTTCAGTTGAAGATTGGTTCCTTCTCCTTAGTGAGATCATCTGTCTGTGTTCTCTCTCTCACCTGTCAGTTTGGAGCATTATGGACACCTTTAATTCTGATCAGGTTACAACTGCTTCAGAATTCTGTGAGGAGTATAAGAATTCATCTCATTATTAACACAATTCAATAAATTTACAATTTGTGTAGTTTTAGAGCCATTAACATTTAGTAGTACATGCTGTGTAGCACATTTCTCATTCAGAAGAACCTCGACAGAGAAATGCTCTTCTGACATATTACACTATGTGGGTCATCATTTAAAATTTGAAACATCCACCAGCACATACATCTTATTTAAAATGTCAAGAGAGAACAGAAAAATTACACTGGTTTAAGAAGCCTTGTTACCAGGGCATTGGAGATCAATCATTTATCACTCTGCTATGCCACATTAAAATTTTTTTCTGTGTTTACTTGGTGAGAAAGGGGAAACAGAGCAGCTGTCAATAGGAAGCTCTAGGGAAATTCTGCTATTCCATCAGCTCTTAATTTTTATTTGATGAAGTTCTGGCATAACTTTTTTCTGATTCAGAATTTATTTAATTGCTACATTGCTTTGGCCGTCCAAGCATGCCCTAAAATCTTCCCCTCCCGGATATCCAACAATAAAACTTTGATTCTCCCTTCCTTGCTCTCAAGCATCCTGAATTTCTCTACATTTGGAAGTTGGTTGAATATCCCCAGTCACTGAGATCCCTTTGCATACAATTGCAAACAATAACTTGCAAAACCTTCAACTGGAAAAATCCCTCAACTCCTTTAAAAATAGGTGCATCTTTGACTTCCCAAGTTGTACAGAGGGTGTAATCCCAGAATTACTTTTATAGTAAAAACAAGAGTTTTTCAGACTTAGGTTGGAATTATATTACAAATTTAGACAGTAGCTTCAGTTTAGAGACCATGATGCTTTACCCTTGTTTTGCTGACAAAAATTGAAAAGTCACCTGCTGTGTAAAAGAGTTTAGGCATACACTTCACATTCAAAATCAGCACAGGCTTAAATTAATCCACTCCTTGAAAAATATGGAAATAGAAGATATCAGTAATGTATTTTCTGTAAGAGGTGCCTAGATCTGGAATTCACCAATCAGAAAGAGATGTGAAGCTTATGCCTATGCCACTCACTGTGCACAGGTGGACAAAATAAGTCAGGCTATAGCCTGACTATAGCCATACTATTAGGCTGATGCTAAATTAATGCAGCTCAGCAGTTTGTGAACCTACTGTGCCTTGCATCCAGACAGGTCAGTACATGAGCAAAGCAGTTGCACTGCTCTTCATCCATCTGTATAGTCACATTCAGCCTCAGTAAACTCTGGGCTCCCAAACTATCACTTCTGTGTTAATTCACTTTTTCGTTGCCTTAATTATAAAACTAGAAGGAAAGCATCTAGTTCACTCTCCA